TACATGTACTTGTGTATAACAATCCATATAACTCTGGAGTAATAAAATATTTAGCATCTAACATTTATTATTGCTGTTCTTAAAAAATTCCCTATTCGTAATCTTCTAGTCAAATGTATAATTTTTTAAAAATAGTTTTAGTCTTGTTGGATAATCTGTTATTATACCAGTTGCGCCTAGATTGAAGGCTTTCTGAAAATCCTCTTCGTTATTCAATACCCAAAAGTATATCTGCAAAAATTGTGTTAATATGTAGTTATTAATTCGTGACTCATAATTATATATAATTTTAACTTACGTGTATTCCACGGGCTTTTAAATGATTAAATAAGCATGGCCTCATTAATAATACATTGACGGCGCGTATAAATAATCTTTCTGCACGTATAAATGTATGTTTTGGTTGTGTGCGTCTATGGTTGCAGTTTCAAATTAATAACATTTAATTAACTTATTTATTCGTTATTTTAAGCGTTTTTACTTATTAATTTAATTTATTTTAGTATAAAGTAAATGATGTGACATACCGTAAATAAATGGAAGGTAAAAATACTTCCAAATGTGTTTCCTTCAGAGGTACAAATGGTAATAATCCTGTATACATTAGAAGTAACAACAGGGACACACGCCGCATAGAAAATAATAAATTTACATTTGGATTCTGCAAGGAAATTAACGTTATTTACTGTCACTGAACTATTTTGAATATATGTTAATTACCGTTCTGTAGCATTTCTGTGTTATTTCATCACTAAAGTTTCCCCATACAGTATATTCCTCTCTACTGTACATTTTTATTAAGTTAGACACTTTCTCTATAAGCTGGTCATCATTAATTTTGATGTCAATATTCACTGGCATATCAGGGAATGCTTCAAATACTTCTTTTAACAATGGAACTTGCCTGTCTTCTTTTTTGTCTGGGCCAATGTATTCTACATCTGTAAAACTATAAATTTTAAGTAATTTTGTTTATATGGTATGCCTTTACAATAAATATTTGAAGCTACCTGGTTCAAAATCAATCGGAAGACATTGTTTCAAAAGTGGTAATTCTTTATAATTTAATTCTGATATATTTTTGTTTATGCCAGTGCTACGGAGAAGATTTTGATCATGAGACACAACCACCTCTCCATCTTTTGTGAGATGACAATCCAATTCTAACATTTGTGTTCCGATTCCTACAGCCCTAAAATAAATGTATAGTAAGAAATATAAGACAATTGCTCTCCCATTTATTATATTAGATAATCTTTAAACAATGAATAAGCATTTTTAATAACCTTTTAAATGCATACATAGTATTTTCATATCCTTCCCCAGCCCCTGAAAACAAAATTTTTAGAGATGTATTCACATTTTTATGGCAGCTTAATCACCTAAAAAAAAAGCGAACATACCTCCTCTGTGACTTATATGTTGACAACGAAATTTCACAACTTTTTTTTTGTGCAATAACGTAGGATATTTAAAAAGTATCATCGATGTTAACACGTAACCTCCGATTAATGTGTACAGCAACATTTTACGCTCAATTACTGTTCACTGGCACAATGTGTTATAGCAAGTCATTATTTCTTAACAAAGCTGTTATCTTTATGTAAATACAACAGGAAAATTTTATAAATTTCAGACTACATGATGGTGGCTAAATTTATTTTGACGTCTATTCCAATGTGCTCTGAATATCAACAAATGTGGAATCCTACGGGTGGAATCGCACGAGCCATTCTCATTTTTGATTCAAATATTTGCCGCGCATACATGAAAATACCGTATAAGTTCTTTTGTGTGCTTTCTTTTACCTTATTGTATTATATCTAGGTATGTGAAATGAAATACGACAAATTTAAACGGACGAACAAGGAATTACGATTTGTATACTGTAAAATTTTAATAGTAACAATAACAAAGTAATGAAAATATATTTTAGTAGAAAGATGTTTATTTATAACAGTGATATAATGTAATGTATCTAATAATTATATAAACAAATATTTATTACTTGATTGAAAGAATTTTAATAATTAGTCATTAATTCAATTTATGATTAAATAATGATTTTAATCAATAATCCAATGGATGAGTAGGTACATTCAATTGATTATTAATCACATTAAAACATTAATCTCATTAAATATTGTTGAACTCCACGCCGACAAATAAATATAAAGGTACGTAGAAACGATATCGTAGGAAAAACAGATAACCTACGATTTCCTTTTTTTTCCCCCTTCATAAATTTCATGAAATATATGAAGAGATCACGGTGGATGGCGTTGGATGATTGCTAAGTTGTTAAAAATTCTAAATCGGGATATTCCAAGTTAATTGGTAAATATGTAGGTACATGTTACTATCAGTAACTATATTAACCTGTTGGACATCTGTCTTTCTCCCTAGTCCGGAGCTTTTCCGAATGCACCTGTCAAACGTGTTTTAAAAGCTACCTTTATCTAGAAAAATGTGTTTCCGGCAGCGTCTCTCAATCGTTTAACGAGATGTCGGATTCGAATTCGCCGAAAACAGATGCGAGCAGCCCAAGCCTCTCAGGAAATTTGCGACAATTCCGATTCCAAAAGAAACAACTGAAACCATTAAACATGTGTAAGAATCCGTTTAATTTTGATTTTCAATTTTTGACTTATTACAAGTAGTGTCTATCTTTTGTTGTTGTTCCATTGTAACTAACTTACGTGACTGTTATTTTTTTCTTAATGCGTAAGATTTCGTACGTTATATACGCATTTCATTAATCGTATCGAAATATAAAATGAACAATAAATGCATTATTCGATTAAAAAATTATTATCATTATTATTAGTAGTAGTAATGTTACATAGATAATTTTGCAGTAACACGGTTATAAACAGAAATATTATTTTTGTTTAGCGGATGATGACAGTAATCATGTAGGATCTGACATACAATTTCGACGCAAAGCAGTCAATGTAATTGAGGATAGTGATAGTGACGTAGGCAGTGCTTCTAAAACTACACATTCTACAGTACGCAAAAATAAGGTACATTTATTTGAGTATATGTTAATTCATTTACAAATGGGTGAATATAAAAGTATTTATTTAAACAGGAAATGCATATCAACTCAAAATGGAATAGCGATGATGGGGAAGAAGTTGTTAAGAATAAGAGAAAAAGAAGTTTGAAAGGCACTCCTAGGGGCATGAAGAAAAAGAAAAGAAAAATTAACAGAGATGAAGATGTAGATATTGATTCTGATGAAGAAAGTTTTAACAAAGAAAAAGTATTTGATAGGTATGTGTTTAACAAAATAACAAGTACTATTGCTTATAATAAGTTACTATTTGCAGCGATGAAGATTCTGATATGGAAATATCTAATGATCTCACTGGTGATAAAAAAGCAGTTCTTGAATTTATGCAAAATTCTCATATATCAGAACTGCTTTTGATGTCACAGTGCTCTCAAAAGAAAGCAAATGCTATTATAGAAGCAAGACCATTCGAAGATTGGAGAGACATAGTTCAAAAATTCCAAAATAATAGATATTTAGATACAGAACTATTGAACTCAGCTCAAGTAAGAAATTATTTGTACATCTTTATTAACAATCTGTATCTATTATTAATAGTTCATAACGTTGCTTGAATAAAATAGGAATTACTGGCTACAAGGAATACAGTGGAAGCTTTGATGAAGAAATGCCTTCGTTTGTCTTCAAACTTAGAAAAGGCTGTAGCTGCAGGAGTTTCAGCTATTACAAAGCAGCCAAAAGAATTGTCGCCAAGCTTAACATTGGCTCCTTATCAAATGGTTGGCTTGAACTGGTTGGCTGTGATGCATGCACAGAATGTGAATGGTATACTAGCAGATGAGATGGGCTTGGGTAAAACAGTACAAGTAATATCTTTCCTCACTTATTTAAAAGAGACTGGTCTCAGAGATGAGAAAGATGGGCCCCATTTAATAGTTGTTCCTAGCTCAACAATGGGTAAACATATATTACGAGCTTTTTTAAACTTTATTTTTCAGTTTATAATATTAGTGCAATTTATAGAAAATTGGAACAATGAGCTGGAGAGGTGGTCACCTGGCTTGAAAGTTATACAATACTATGGTTCTCAAGAAGAGAGAAAGGAGATGAGACTTGGTTGGCGAAATGGTGATCTAGATGACGTTGATGTTCTATTAACAACGTATAATTTAATTAGCAGTACGCCAGAAGAACGGAGACTATTCCGAGTTATGCCGATTGATTATGTTGTCTTCGACGAGGCACACATGTTGAAAAACATGAGTACTATCAGATACGAAAACCTCGTCCGCATCAATGTATATATTCAAATTAATAGTCACTTAACTTACGTATTTCAATGGATCAAACTATATAATAACATGTTTGCAGGCGAAACATCGAATTTTGTTAACTGGAACACCCTTACAAAACAATTTATTAGAATTGATGTCACTTTTAATATTTGTGATGCCATCGTTATTTGCTGGAAAACAAGCCGATTTAAAGAGTTTATTTTCAAAAAATCCAGTGGGTATTAAATAGTACAATAACTTATCATCAGAAGAACATATTATGTAGATCAGTCTATTACATTGCAGAAGCTACCGTCAGTAAAAAACAACGGCGAAAAACCGCTGTTCGAGCAAGAGCAAGTTAAAAATGCTAAACAAATTATGAAACCTTTTGTACTTCGTCGATTAAAATCCGAAGTTCTCCGAGATTTGCCTCAAAAGAGTGAACGTGTAATAAGAGTTCCGATGACGGAGAAACAACAAAAAATGTATAGGAATTTGATAGCGGAATTTTCAGCGGAAGCGGATCAAAGCTCGGAAGTGAATGGAATAGGGATGATGATGCAGCTACGGAAATTGGCTAATCATCCGTTACTAGTGCGAGATTATTTCAACGAATCCAAGCTAAAAGTAATTTTTAAGTACTCGTTTATCAAAGAAATTTTCTTTAGATGATTTTAATCATTTGTAATGTTTTTTCAGGTAATAGCAAGCAGACTAGCAAAAGAGCATGGGTACAAACAAAAGAATCCGGAGTACGTATTCGAAGATCTACTATGGATGTCTGATTATCAGATAAATCAGTTGTCAAGAACATATAAGAGTTTAGCTGGACTTGGTTTACCACAAGAACTCATTCCTGAGGCTGGCAAATTAAAAGTGTTGGACGAATTATTGCCAAAATTCCAAGATGAAGGCCACAGAGTGTTAATTTTCAGCCAATTCACAATGGTACTAGATATTTTAGAGGAGTACCTAACAATCAGAGGAAAAACATATTTAAGGTTTCTGTCATATTTCATCAATTGATCCTGATTTATAATCCGATGGTAAGCTAAGATTTCATTGTTTCGATTTTGGAATTCTAGATTAGACGGAAGTACACCGGTAACAGATAGACAATTTTTAATAAACCAGTATACGGAGGATGAAAGTATATTTATATTTTTATTATCAACGAAAGCTGGAGGCTTAGGGATCAATTTAACAACCGCGGATACTGTTATAATACATGATATTGATTTCAATCCGTATAACGATAAGCAGGCGGAAGATCGTTGCCATAGAGTAGGCCAAACAAGGTATTCTGTCATAAAATAATAGATTAGAATGTACTATACAAATAATAACGTTTATATTTTCAGACCCGTTAATATAATTAGATTATTAAGCGAAGGCACTATAGAAGAAGGCATGTATGAGATAGCACAGGATAAATTGCATCTTGAAGAACAGATCACACGTAACGAAGGTTAGTACCATTAATTTGTTTCACTGTGATATAGTTCGCTAAATATTCTATTTTCTTACAGAAAATGAGAGCCAGGATAAGAAGAGTGTACTAAAGCTACTTAAAATGACATTAGGTCTAGAACACAACAGATCTCTATCATTGTCTCCAACAAAGAATGCAAAAACCAGCAACGGAACATTAAACAACGAAGGGGCGAGCGACGTAGAATTCTAAATGTAATCTTTATACTCAAACAGATTTTGTACTAGTTGAAAATTTAACGTCGATTTTGTAAGTGTGATCTTCAAATTTTTGATACAGTACTGTTGCAATTGCATAAGCGATATCGGACTTGTAAATTTATCTCGCGTATTTCTTTCAGAATATGCGTATAAGATATTGTTCGCAATTGCATGAACACAGTTTGAATCAGTTACACATAGAAATTGTTTATATGGATTATTAATATTATTTTGTATATCACGTATAAAACCATTCTTGTATTTATACACGTATACATTTAGGTAGAATTTTAATTGTAACTTCTTTTGTGTTTTGTGCATACGTTCAAATATTTATACATATATGTAGTATGTGTTTAGGCAAGTACATATTGAGAATTGCACAATGTATACAGGAAAACGAGTGAAAAAATCAAGAAATAAGAACAACAAAATGTTTCTATTAAAAATAGCCGCATAATGTGAATAATGCATTGAAATATATATATATATGTATATATATAAATATATATATAAATATATATATAAATATATATATATACATATATATTTGGTATTAATGTACACAAACATTCCTTTAAAGATTACTTAATCATTGTACAAAACTATTGACGGCATTGTGCCGTTTATCAGATTTAAGTTATTGACTTGTAACGCATTTCTATTAGAATTCCATTAAGGTTTGTCATACTAAATGAATGCTAGCTTAGACGGTTTGCAAGATTAAATAAATTATTAATTTACTATCAGATGTAAACTACAATGAAAACAAGCATCTCAAAATATAATAAAAATTTTTAATACACGCTTTCTAATTCTTGTAATCGTTCATAAGGTAAATGCAAAATTTAAAAATTCAATTTTAATTAATTTGTACCAAATCCTCCTCCTTTTCCTGTGTCGACCACTACAAATTACAACAGCTTTATTTCGTAAATTACATGAATTAGCCGCAGAGATTTTCTATTTAGACGGAAGCCATGTATCTCAATACGACTCGCAAAAGATGAAATCTTACCGCAACAGCATATTTTATTCCTCATTTGCGTTGATTATTTGCATTTGTTGGTAAACGCTTATCAGTATTGCTGTGTTATAAAAAGTATTGAAAATCTTTGCAATTTTATCGTGTACGTCGTACAGATTCATCGAGATTGGTATCTCAGATGAACCTGTAGAATGTCGTAGCCAAACCAAGGTGAAAAGAAAATTTCCATAACATTATTATTCAATTGCTTTCTCACTTGTAGTAAGTGTATAATGGACAGATTATTACTTCAGCTATCAGTAATATACATACATCGTCCAGTACATTTTATAACATTATAATCGTTACATGATACAAGCATGATACCCATAATTTCTACAGTACAATGTTTACCAAGATGCCAACTTGTAACACAAGATGCCTGGCAATCATAATATTATCGCGATACCGATATTAGTACATAAACGAAGTTTAACAAGTATCATGGTAAATTCTATACTTTTTATCTGACGTCTTTGCAAACCGACAATCCGTGACGTAAAACCTAAAACCGCATATTTCCAAGATCGGAATCTGGTCATAGAATGTCGTCGTCAGAAAGTGCAAGAGTCCGGAAAATTCCTATGACATTATCTAAATAATCCTGTCAGCATAACTCTAACTATTAAATGGAAATATTCGACTGTAATTGTATTCAGGAACCGCCGTAATCATACAAATTTTATTAGTACAATTTTTGCATGCATAAGTTATCGAGACTCTATTCAGTCGAGAAGAGTATGTACCAAGAAAACAATCAAGATAATATCGAATCTGTTACTCATATTATGGTGGGGAGAGTTAGTAAGGAGGGGAGCAGATGAACGAGAGAAGGGAGGAAACCCGGGAGGGTATGAATTAACGTATTTAATAGAGGGGTGAAGAAAAAGTATGTCGTAAAGTGCAGTAGGTAGGGAAAATTACACGTGTTAACGAAATTTCGATGAATTTTGTAACCAAAAGTTCGGCTTTACCATTATCATCGAAACATTAGATTTTCTGATTTCATTGTTTCTCTATTTTCAGAAAGATTAAGTTCGATGTATGTATTTTAAGAAACAATTGTTAAAAACCAATTTTTAAAGCCGTATAGGTTTACTTCGGAACTCGAAAGCTTGACTTGTACTACTTTTCACATTTTGTTGCGGCACAGACAAACCACTTTGAGCAAGAAGAACAGACAATTTTTACGTTACGAACCTTGTCACGTGATTTTCACATATCGTTCAATTATATTTTTAACATACTTAGGAAATTATATATTTGCCAAATGTTGTTCTATGAGCTGGAAGAATAGAAAGAGAATGATTTCTAAGTCATTCTAAGTCACTGACTGACACTATATTGTCCGCAAAAAATTATATTCTTCTGTATGAATGAACTTTACATAATTTCGAGACCATAAACGAATGTATCTAAATGTTACTTGTTACCAAAAAAAAATACGGTTTTTTTCAGGTTTCACGGAATGTTATAGTGTAGGTTATACGGAAACGATGACAAAACAGGCTTGACAATTAACGTGTTAATGATACTACGTATATGATCCAAGTAAGACGATGGATTTTGATTTTTCAATTACAGCGAAAGCAAAGGAAAGTTCAAAATATCGAGTTCGATGCGCGCTAAAATCGAATCGCAACAGATCTCTCGTTTCCCGATCGAGATCGACGAGGTCGCGACTGGCCGAAGAACTCGATTCTCGATTCAATAAGAAAATTGGCGGCAATTGGAGCGCGATTCTCACGGCGGGATACCTTTCGTTCGTCCTGTCGAGTGGGGAATTACGAAAGGCAAAGTGTTTCCACGACGAACCGGCGTGTGTTAGATTTCGATCTCGAGTAGGCCGCGTAAGGTAGTCGAGCCGCATCGTCGCGTCCGAATCACGGTCCGCGAGTGACCAGCAAACGAAATGGCAAGAGTGCGGTGTGCCGTGTGTGCCACGATGCTATATAAACAATACTTGCCGCGAACCGTGATCAGTCGAGTTGCGGCGGCCGTACCTGTCGTGACACAATATAATGCATCGCACCATAACAAACTGAACGAGAACCGGTTGCCCTTTTTCCGCGTCTATCGCCGCAACGCGTTCTCATTTGACTTAACCTTGTTTGTTCCGCGCCTCTGTGTCCGTTCGAATATTTTCCACGACCCGCACGCGAGATTAAGGCATTCCTGTGCAAAGAAGTGACCGACGACCAAGCCATGTCGCACGACAATTTCGGATTTACCTCGAGCACGGTGAGTGTCATTGTCTCTTACCCGATTGTCGTCGCTCTTCTTTGTCGTTCGTCTTTTGATTACACGCACCCGCCGCACGTGCACCGCTCCAAACATTTCGAACAAGCCAGGTACGACCACCGTTGTTTCGTTCGGTTCTCGCGAACCGTTCGAAATATTCGGTTATTCCATTCGTTTGAACAGCCCTCGACCCTTCGAGGACTGAGATCGTTGGATTGATTACATCGGTTGATCTATCTTAACCCTTTGCTATGTTTAAACTGGTACATTTTATACAGATGAAATTAAAGTTCGTGACTCATATAACAGTTACGCTTTCCATAGTTTTCGAAATGCAGAAGAATTCGGTAATGTTGAAATTATTTCGAACCGTTATACGATAATTTTTAGCGATGCTTTAGAGTCACTACTCGTATGTAAAGGGTTAATATTTTAAAGAATCCTGTCCACGGGGGCAATTTTCAAGGAAGTCTTTTCACTTTACTATTTCATTTGTGTACTCTGTGGAAGTTCCGCTTATTCGGCCTGTCATAAACGTGTAAAATAGCATTTGAAGTGAGATCACAGACCATCGCCGGTACATCGCGGAGCTTCGAGAATCGAAATAACAAGTCGAACATTATCGAGCCTCTGTCATGGTAGCTGTTACAACCTGTTGTGTTTAGAGTTCGTTGTGCGTGACAGACGTGATTAGAACGCGGGATAGATACAGGAAAAAAAATGATTGAAGTTGTAATATACAAGTACGATTCGAATAAATTAACGACCAGTTTCCGCGTTCTGCTTGATAATTGCCATTCGATTTCCATTAATTACATACCATCGAGACGCAGATCGCCAGACGCCTCGTCGCGTATGGCAACACCTCAGGACGTTCGAAACGTACGAACCGAGAAAGAGGGTAGTTCACGGATGCTGTTTCATCGTACGAATTCGTTCATTGTTGTTATTATTTCGTTTCCTAATATCTCGAGAACACCTATGTAGATAATGAAGGAATTCGAAAATTGAATTTCTCGAGATAATTGTACAATGATGGATCCATACTGGAATCTGTCGATCGATCTGGACTCCATTGGTTGAGATGATCGATGGCCGTCGATCGACCCGTGAATCGATCCGTTTTATTCGGAATCAAATGGTTCGATTACCTATTGCCTCGAATTCGCTGCGAGGTGATTGCTCGCGAGACCAAGAAGGAAAGGAAAGCGAGCCGTCGAACGTAAAATTCTCGTCGAAGGACAATATCTGCTGGAACCGCGTGCTGTGTGACGTTAATACGGGGCCCATTTGAGTTGAACCGAATCCTTTCCGGTTCGATGAAGGAAAGGAACGGTAACGTAGAGCCAATCATTTTTTTCCATGCCATAGTCCTACGTCATTAGGTCGTGAAATTCGCTAGAAAAAACTGGACCGCCGTTTTTTCGAATTGTTAGTGAAACTGCGTGTCCTTCGAATCGCGATTACCGCGGCTCTGCCATACAATTCGTTCCCTCGTTTTTTTTCGCTAGCTATGTAGTTTCAGTTTTTGTCGGTGGCTTGTTAAGTTGAAATTTCGCGAAATTTCGGAATTAGTTCGTCTCGCTCTGATCCTGTTATTGTTTGCTTCGTCGTCATCGAAATACTTAATTAACTAGAGTGACTTTTTGACTCGGTTTGGGAAACGTTTCAGCCATTGTTCCATTTAATCACTAGTCAGATGTAATCGCCGACGTGTTGATGCGACGATAAGTTGAAATTCTGTAGCTCAGTAAACAGATCGAATAATACAAACCAGGCGTCATTAGAGATCGATGATCCCTGCGGTGAATGATTTAAAATAGTGAACCACTGGGAGAAAGTAAATTGGTAACGGTACTTACTGTTTAGAAGTAACGAAGATCGTACGTAATTCTATGGAAAAATGCAGCGGAGTTGGACGGTGATTACAAAGATAGCGTTGGAGATTACCGGAAGGTCCGTTACAACGGAAGTTGCGCAATTCACTGGCGCAGGCATTTAAATGTTTAGGAATTTCGAGGTTTTGCGTACATAGCAGATCATTGATCAAATACTTAACTATTTAAATTACTAATTAGGTACCTACGCATTTTTGTAGATTTATGTTTGCATACTACAGTAATCCAAGAATTAAACAACTTATAATTAAAAAATATGAGGTCAAACATTTGCAAGTATAAAAGTTTAAAATTGACAGATTTTAGTCAGCGAAATTTGGAGGTACTGAGAAAATTGAGTATTGACATAAATGAATGTTATTGAAATGTGGCGCAGGGAAATTGAATATTTGCAAAATAATTGAACAATTAGATGTAAGTATTTACGTAACGCTATCGGGATACAGGAGTATTGAAATAGTTTTGTTGACTGTGCTTGAATAATCGAATAATCATCGAAATTGAAAATTTAAAAATGTGGAAATTTGAAATTTGTAATATGTACATTTAAAATGTGAAAATTTGAAATACGAAAAACTTTTGGAACGTGAGAACTTGCAACTTGAAACGAAATAAAATGTCAAACATGAGAGTTGAAAACTACTTGCGAAAATCGAGTACAGGAAATTTAGCATTGCCGAAACTATAAAAGAAAAAAAATCGCAGAATTGTATCTCACAGCAGAAAAGCAATCGATATACGTTTGGTAGATGGTAACGATGATCCCGATTCCAGAGACCGTGCCTAAATCGTGTTACGTTGCCACCGACACGCGTTATACCCGAAAAAATGTCGATTGTCCTAACAGTTGCACCATCGATAAAACGAGAGATCAAACACTCGTCACTCTGATCCCTCGATATTTTTCTTCGCAGCGCACTGCCTCGAACGAAAGCGATAGGAAACGGCACCTGTTTACTGGAAAACGCCTCGCTGTCGATCGCGTAATCTGGGAAGCGAGAAAAATAGAAACGCCCGAGTAACAAGCAACTGGCCAACGATATCAAATGTTTGCTGTGCCGATTAGCCCAGGCCCCGCCGTTCTGTTCTTGTGTCGTTGTTTTCGAAGATCATGCTTCCTGATAATGTCACGGCCAGATCGGCTTTGGTAGTGGAACTTTTTTTTTTTAGACAATGTCTGAATAACTGATAATGGAAATATTTGAAACCTGTGAGTTTTCCACTAGAAAGATCGCGACGATCGCGTGTTGGATCTTCCTCGTATCGGTTTTATCCCTGTTCAGATAATTTACTTGAATTTCCGGAAACGTCAGTGGAAGCGATGAGTTTCATCACTTGAGGAACACAGGGTGCAATTGGTTTTGTCAGTCGCGATGCAATGGACCGTTTCAGTCAAAAATTGGGCGAAGACTTTAATTATCTCTTAGTGGAGACTGTTCATTGATCGAGAATCATTTTTGTCAAAAGGAGTTGAGTTGTCGTCGAGTGAAAATTCATCTACTGTCTCTTACTGAACAGTGTAAATTTCCGATCGTGTAGTTTAAATTGGCGTATTTAATGAAATTATGAATAAAAGACAACCTATTGAAATAAAACGAACAGACTCGTAGTGGCAAGAATCGTTTGCACAAAGGGGTTGAATTCTCTCCAGATGAAAATTTAGCTATTGTCTCCCACTGAATACTGTAAAATGTTTCCTTTCCGATTGTATCCAAGTTCGATGAAGTCGCGAGTCAAACAAAACCTGTTGAATTAAAACGAACAGGTTTTTAGCAACAAAAATCATCTGAACAAAAGGATACAATTCCTTTCATCGATTGTCTATCAGCAAATACTTCAAAATGGTTTCTTCCTGATATTACTCTAATATCGATAAATCTGTGAATGTAATACAAGTAAAATGATATCGAACCGAGATTAGATCGCGATAATTCGGAAATTTCATGTCTCTATGCCGATTATGATCTATCGGTGATTTATCCGAGCCTATTCATCGAAAAAGCCTACTCGAGCCGAATCATTTCGAACGGATCTGTCGAATGGAAATATACACGTAGCAATTCCTCTGTCGAGATAGTCAATATTTACAGGAACCGTTGATTCCCGCGGCTACGTCGGGGAAATGTTTGTTCGCGCTTTTTATCGCAAGGTCGACGGATCCATGGCTCATGAAAAATCGCCTCTGAACGAATCGCGCGATCATCGTCAATTTTGTCAGCACGATCGTTGTTTGATCGTGGAACACCCCGAGATTATAGGATCACGTAGTACGGTAATAAACACTCGAATACATTGTTCCTCGGATTCTTTCTCGTATAGAAACATATGATATTTGGAACAAAAATGACTATGCGTTATTATTTCATTTACTGTTCTATCTGCAAATTATGTTAACTCGAGGGTGTGTCTTATTATAATATTTATCATAGTTATTTTACTATGTAGATTGTAGCAACATTGCAATGATAATAACACGTATTACTTTCGAATTTATCATAAATCCATATTGTATTTTGTGCTACTTTTGTACGTATTGTAGAAATGTTCTAGTTAGAATCGTTCACTCATTTCGATGCATTCTTTATCGTTATTCTGACGCTATCTGTCCGATAATGACGAGAAAGTTTATGACTCCGATAGTTCAGTCTGCAAAATGCTATTTTATTTTTCGCCGCGCTGCAAATTGCTTGCACACGGCACAAAAGGTTGAGCGTTACGTATGTCCGTAATTATTGTTACGTACGTTCATAAATAAACAACGGAATTTTATGGTCAATTGAATTGTCTGTCTTAATCGCAGCAAGCTGGAGAATAATCGCAATTGATTTTCTTTCTTGACAGATTGTAAGTAATATAGCAACGGGTTGTACCTCCGCAAAATATTTGCAGTTTGTTAATGAAACTCTGTAGATCCGCTTCTGCATTCTTCGCGCCTGCAACGGAAGTTGTCACACTGCCACTATTAAGTATTCTTCTAAAAAAGCTCCGATTTGTAAAACAGAGATTGAAGGAGTGTCGATTCCAATCGACAATGAATTTATTATGCGGCAAAATAAATCCTGGAATCTTTGTGTTTTTATGTTATCAAGATTCCTTCGAGTG